TTTCTGGTTGGGTTCTTCGTTCAGGGAAATGATAACTTTGTAAAATCAAATATAAGATCTAAATGTCACTTTGGCCCAACAAGAACCTTTGGGGTAGTGGGATTCTTCAGGGGAGGATGTTCCTAAGCTGTCACCATCATTTTTTTTTTATAATCTTCATAAATTATTTGAACACAGTTCTACATGGAACCCTGAATGGCCTTACATGTCTGTATGTCAGTATGCGGTGTTTTTGATGAGCTAGTCTGCTCTGTACATTCATCCTGAGAAACAACACATTGAAACTGTTGTTTCTTGTTGATCACTGACTTCATTTTCTTCAGTTTCCACTGAATAAAATGTTAGGGGGTAGTAGTAGTGAGTGACTTGTGTGCTTAGGACTAGCTAGGTCCTGGTGTGTCACTGAGCTGACACTTTCTCTTAAAGTGTCAGCTGATATTTGTAGCAAGACTTGTGCTACAAACATTGCCAGCAGCAGCAGAAAGCCAGACTGCCTGAACAAAGAGCGAGAGTAGGAATATTTTTATGGCTGTCTTCTCAAAGATGGAAAACAAGTTATCCAATATTAAGTTATTTTATTTCTGTTTTCTTTTTGTCCTCCAACTGCCTGGAGAAGTCTAAACCTCCTCAGTACCACACCATTCTTCATTTTAGTTTAGACCTCTAACCTTCATGCTGCATAATAGGAAGCAAGAAGTGATTCAATAAAGTGCCTGAGAAGAGAAATAAAATTTCTGGTTATATTCTGGCAGGTTTGCCTTCTCTAGGAACAGAGAGCCAACCATTGTTCCCATCCCCAACCCAAACGTAGAGATTGGAAGAGCCACCCAGATGAGTCAGAATGACATCCTCCGGGTGAATCGCCTCTATCAATGCAGTGAGTATTTCTTCCAAAATCTTTCCTTCACCTTTGCTGGACAAAGGGCACAAAATACTAGAGGTCTTTTTTAATCCCTAATGAGCCGCACGGCCTGAATCGTACAAGTTAAAAATGTGGAGTGATCAGTTAGTCCAGTGGGTTTTATGACAGGAAATCTATCAGCTTTTACTGATGTCTCTTTTATTTCATTGCAGATTCAAATTTTCTTAAAAATAAACAATCTGCGTCGGGAATGCAATTCCTCTGAGAGTTCAAAGTAAGCTCAATGTTTCATTACACAGCAGTACCTATAACATTCTCAGTCACACGCAACATGTGATATTTTACAATAACTGTACATGAACAGTTCTATTAAAATTATAGAATATTTTACTGATGATACATGAAGGAATATTTTTTGCACTTCCAAAATATACAAGCTAAAACTTATGTTGCCTCATCAGCATTGACCTACAGAGATGTCTTATTTTATCACTGCAGAGACTGTAGGAGATGCTGTTAGTTTCACACACCATATGATTTAGAACTGTTGTGTGTGTCCTTGAACGTAGCTTTTAAAATATTCTGGTGATAACTGTTGATTTTGTTGCATCTTTTTCTTTAACCCTACAGGACCAGAAGCAGACATACAGAGGAGGCTTCTTGCTTTTATTGGCTTCTTTGCTGCTGACCTAATGAGAAATTAAAATGACTGAACTGTCACTGCTTTTTCCACAAATACACAAGAATTGATGCTTTCCAGCTTGATGCAATGCAAATATTAATAAAACTAGTCAAAGTGACCTAAATGTTCATTGTGCTTATTTCTTTCACTCAAAATACATCACATTCAGTAATGTTGTCTACAGTATGTGGCCCACAGCAATTCTGACAAACACAGGTGATCAAACATAGGAAATTGTGTCAGTGATAAGAATCAAGGTGGAACTGATCTGAAAGCTCAACTCAGATCTGTGAGAATGTCACATTTGGTACGATTAGAAGTTTAAATAATCACTATCAATAAACATTTTAGCTTAGGTTTTGATAAGTTCTATTTTTTTTCATATAACTGAAGACTCTTATGTTGAAGTTTGTGCAAACTGTCACAAAAACAGAAACTTTGTTCTCATGTTTTCTTACTTGCTCCTACAGCAGACTTGCCATTATGGTCCAAGAAACAGTGTTAAACGCAAGAGAATGTGGTTTAGGTTGTAATATTTGGACTAAAGTAAGAAGAGAATAAAAGACTTGGTAAAGAAACTGCTCGTCAGAGTAAAGTGGGTAAACATGACATCTGGTCACAATGAATACAAGAATATTTGAATACCTGAGTATTATAGAAACAGAGATGTATGACATTGTTTGACAGTCACCTATAACATTCCCAATCCCATGGGGGGGAAGGGGTGTGGGGGGGGGGGGGCAATCGGGTCATTTGTCAAAGTTTGGACAAGAATTTTTATTTTTTAAAATAAGCATTTTTGTGAAGAAAACATATGTCTAATATTTAAGTTGCAAAAACAAAAATTCATTCATATTTTCTTTGCAAGTGTCCTTGCAATTGTAGTAATGGTAAGGTAAGGTAATTTTCTTTATATAGCACATTTTCAGCAGCAAAGTAATTCAAAGTGTTTTATATGAATTAAAAGTAAATACAAACAAAATAACAAACCAAAGGAAAGAAGAAGAAGAAAAAGAGCAAAAGAAGAAAAATAATATAATGATGATCTAAAGTATGTAAACTAGATGCTCCTGTTCAGGGTTGCTCAGTATCTTCTGGTCTAATTCCATTTCTGGGTTGGGAGAACAGGAGTCTAAGTATTTCTGGATTCTAAGTTCATAGTTATTCTAATTCTGATTCCATTTCTGGTCTGTATAACATTGATCTAAATAGTGCATACTCCACAATTTCTATTATTACTAGTAAACTAAAATAATCCTTTTCTGGGTTAAATAGGGAGTACTCCACCGTTTCTAACAAAATAAAACAAAACAGAGAAAAGGAAACATTAGGGCAAATGGCAACATTCAGACAAAACAAAGGGCAAAACAGAGACATGAGTGATAACTGATGGGCATTTACCATCATGGCCTATCATCATGTGATGGTTTATGCCAGTGGCAGAGCTAGACTTTTAAAGTTGGGGGGGCCAAAAGGGGGCCAGGGCTATCTCTGGGGGGCAAAAATTGAAATAATGTGTATACATTTATATATAGAGCTATCTAGTCGATAAATCAATATATGCATACACACACAATATATATATATACGTCTCATTAACGGAATATTTAGTTTTGTTAAATGACTGGAAAATTTTAAGCCCCTCCGTCATTTGACAGGTTATAATTAACACCCCTGACTGCTGCACATGGACAGACATTATAGACTTTATGCAAAGACCCTGCTAGCAAGAAAATGTTCGTAGTACGTCCGTGAACGTCGTCTGAAGTCGAACCGAATGTTCAGACCTGACGTTCAGCAAACGTTGTCTGAACATTCACTCTGAACATTCGTTCCCAAATAATTTTCTTTTTTTGCTGTTATTTCACTTGATTTAGATTTTGTATCTTTAAAACTTTTATGACTGTTATTATTTTTTATCAAATTTTTATTTTTCACTTCTTATACAAAGTGCATACTTCCGAATGTTGTTTGAACGTTCTTGAACGTCTTCCGGACGTTTTCATAAATGCTGCTTTAAAAAAACTTCCAAAAAAACGGAGGTATTACAGAGAGCTTTATTTCTCCCTACAAAATAATAAATTTTTAAGATTGTTTTGTTACTCTTGCTGTTATTCTAATGCAAACGTCTCTTCTATGTCTTAATAAAAAATAAACAAATGTTCGGACTTGACGTTCGCCGAATTTTAATACATTTAAAACCTTTATGGTGGTTAATATTTCTGACAAAATCTCTTTTTGTCATTTTAGAGAGTCTGAATGTTGTCTGAAAGTCATCTGTTCGTCCGTGTGTGTCGTTTAAAAATTGGGTTACTAGCTTCAATACCTTATTTAGCCAGTAGGGGGCTCTACGCCCGTCTAAACATTATCCTCGCCATTCAAATAATGGTTATAAGTCCGATTTTTTCTCATTTCCTTTCCTGCATAATCTACATTGCATTTATTCAAACGCAATGTAAACGTATCTCAAAGGAGAGTAATACTTAAATAAAAGTCCAAGAAGTACTTCCATTTGGAAAGTATGAATTTTCTGCAGAGTGACGTCACTTCCCAACTCGGATTTCTGCAGTTAAAAAGCAACGGAAGTGATGGGATCTACCTTGTTCGGTAAGTTATTAGTTTCCATACTTATTTCTTTCATATTCTAACCTGGCACGTGGTTAAAGCGTAAAAAAACACATAATTTGTTGCCGATGCCTTTTGTGTGCGTTTGTATCTCGCTAAGCTTCGTCCTCCTTCGTTTCGAGCACGTGGCGCCATTATCTCATGACTTCTCAACCTCTATTATAAAGTTTGACTCGACCAGAAATATTTATCTACGTGAAGTGTCCTGCTCTTTTTCCCCTAATGTTACTTGTCCTGGGCCACCGAGTCAACATAACTGATAAGCAGGTAATCGGGAGAGTTTGAACGGACCGCTTCGTTCATATACTGAGGGCTGTAGGAAAAAACATCATGGCGTCAGTTCGCATGTCTACTACTGAGGAGAAGTTTAGCTGCTGGCAACAAGTACAGCTGAGTGGGAATTAAATTTTTCAGCACATAAAATTATAACATTTAAAAACTTGAGTTCTACATTGTCCTTTTTAAAAAGCCAGATTAAAGAAAATAAATGCATTAATACTTTGTATTGCCAAATTTGCAAAGCTTACTGACATTTTCCAACACAGCCATGAGAGGTAATGGGAGTTACACCATTTAATTTTCTTTTGGAATTAATTAAATATTTTTGAATTTAATAATTTATTTTTAATCCATAGCTGGAATCTGACAGCAGAATCTAGAGCAGGGGTGGGCAACTCCAGGCCTGAAGGGCCGGTCTCCTGCAACTTTTAGATGTATCTCAACTTCAACACACCTGAGTTAAAATAATGAGGTCGTTAGCAGGACTGGAGAACCTGACTGCACTGAGGAGGTGATTCAGCTGTTGGATCCAAGTGTGTTGGACCAGGGAGACATTAAGAGCTGCAGGACACCTGACCTCGAGGACCAGGATTGCCCCCCCCTGCTCTAGAGGACCAGTAAGCACTGAAGTGGTCTAGTTAATGTAAACTAGTTAATGGTTACTTGTGGATGAACAAAAAATCTAAATGTTCAGTCTGATCCATAGTAGCATGTTATTGTTGAGCTTGTGGTTTATCTTAAGCTACTGTAAACACTGTCTTTTCCTTCACTCTGGATCATCAACTACAAAATAATATGCAGCTGGACATATTAATAGCACATTCGTTGGTATCGCAGCACAAACTACTGGGTGATGTTCTGTTTAATTCAGTGTTAGTTAAATTACCAGTTAGATCTGATGTTTATCTTATTATTTCAAGGTCCTTCAAAGAGTTGTTGATGCTGATGGCTGTGAGCAGGAAGGACCTCCTGTAGCAGTCTGTGTTACAGCCTCTGACTGAAGACACCGTTTTTCTGATGAAGAGGACGCTCAGAGTTGGTCATACTCTTTCTTAATGGACATTATTGTGTTTATGTTTGAATGTTTCCTATTTGATTAAAGTAATGATTGTTTTTTTTTCTCATATGTAATTTCAGGTGACAATTTGAAAGTCGTACAGAAATGTCGTCTGGCTGAAGATGTCAGACCTCAAAGCAGAAGCCCAAGAGGATCAGGTAAAAAGTTTTTGTAAGGCAGTAATTAGGATTATTAGCTGCAAAGAGAGAGAGAGAGAGCTGTTCATGGTTTCCTTCAGTTTGATCCCTTTATGTTGCTTCAATGTGTTTAGGAGTTACTACAGTATTACAGACCACTTAGAAATACATGATAATCAAGTATTATTGGACAAAACTTTGATTAATTGAATAAATCACGCTGATGTTTATGCAGGTTTTTAATTAAATGTTTTTGTTACAGGTGAACTGAGATCTATTCAGATTCTGAGGAAAAGCCACAGATCCAGAAAATCTCCCCTATGACCAGCAGCCACAGCCTCCCACCTGTCCTCCACCTTCACTCCCACCTGTCCTCCACCTTCACTCCCACCTGTCCTCCACCAGCTGCTCTGTGTTCACCTGTAGCTGTTTAGTCACACCGGTAACTCCACTAACCGACTCCCTTCAACTGGAAATTCCTCTATCAGGTAAATTTAACCATCATGTAAAAACAGTGACTACACTTTGTGTATCATATTTTAATTGAATTATTTATAGATGTAGGGCATTTTTGGATTTGATTAGTTGACAACATGAATAAGAGAGTTACATGCAAATAAAGGTTTGTATGGTGGGAGTTTTGTCTGTTTTAATTTTCCTGTGTTAATCCAGGTGAGCTGCAGCAGAGACTCATCTAAACCAGGACAGAGGGTCCTGACCTGCCGGGCTGAACACCCCCAGTCTACATTGTAATAAATTATTATTTTACATTACAGTGTTTTTTTTTTGTTTTTGTTTTTTTTTTTTAATCATTCTTTGCATACTGAAGCATTCTGTGTAACGTCTTCAAAGCCTTATGGAGTTGAAGAAGTTTGCCTGGGAAACCCCAGGATGCTGCGAGCCGTTCTGACCCGTCTGACAGTCACTGGTTCTGCTGAAGAGATGGACTCACTGGATGAGCTCGGCCTTCCAGCCTCCATTGCAGAGAAATTAGAAGTCCTGAACCAAAAACTGGAGTCAGGAGCTGTTCAGAAATAAGTGGTATGTATAATTTTTTTGAAAACATAGTTAGCCTTTCTCTTCACATTATTCTTTCCTTCCATCAGGTGCAGTACTGTTTAAATATTAACTTTTAAATTCTCTGTGTTACTTTTTTAGCTGGA